TTCTGTGCCTTCCTCCATATAATCTGCAATCGTGCTCCAGGCCCTCTGCTCATGGTCTGGTGGACCACTGCCTTGAAGGATCTCACTGAATAGGTCATCCCAGGTCCTTTTCTTTCTCTGGGTTATCTGGCTTAGGCATTCCATGGGGGCTGGAGGAAAACCTCTTATGGCCACCATAATGGCAGCAACAGATAAAACACACAGATGTACCATTGTCAGCAGAGTCACAACGGACAGGGAAAGTTCAGATTCAAAACTGCTTTCTCTTGCTCCCCTAAAGTTTTATACAAGACATGCTTATTGACACTTCTGGTTTGGCATGCGTGTAAGCACAGCACCACTCCCAATACCAGCTATGATGAATATGGTCCAGTAGGGGAGAGGGAAATGTGGAAGGAATCGCTTGACTGCATGAAACTAAGTACAAAGCTATGATTTTAAGTATTAGCACTGTTTTCCATAGGAGGTGGTGATCTTAGGTGATATCTCCCTCCTGAGGGTGACAAAGGCAGTGAGTACAGCTGCTGGTGGTGTCCCAAAACTGCCCAGGCCTCCATGCTACTAGCCTAAGGATGTTAAGAGGTGGGTAATTAGGTAATCGTGTAGTTGACACAATTTGTATTGTCTACACAATTAGTTGTTAAGGGAAGGTACTATCTCCGCTGTGTCTCTGCAGTTTAAATGTGGTCAGAGCCAGGCACAAAGGCAGCCCAGGTCCTACTCTGTTTAAACTGTAGAGCTGCAGCAGGCATAACTCTTAGACCCAATGCAAACCAGGACTGAGCAGGGCTTCCTCAGTCCAAGCTCTTGACAGGTCCAGCAGCCCCTGTCTGCAGGGGGTCTCAGCGGGAAACTGGGATCCTCCGCGAACACGGCCTGCTGCAGAGCTGGTTCCCCCCAGCACTGGCTTCTGTTCCTCCCTCTTGCTGCTGCTGATATAGAGGCAGCAGGGGGCAGAGGGTGCAAGTATTCAACTTGATTACCCAATAAACCTGGCATTATCGGGTAGTCAACTAATTGTCTACTCTTTTACATCTTTATACTAATCTGTTTACTATAGTGAAGCATAGTGAAGTTATCACCAACTGTCATTGGAAAGTGTTCTGTTTCTGCAAAATACTTAAACAAGCATGTAACTTTACATATGTACTTCTACTGAAGTCTAGAAGACTGCTCATATGAATGAAGTTCATCATTGTAGTAAAGATACAGCAGTCCCGTGGAATGAGGCACACATTTTTGCTTATCGCTTATCAGAGAAAGGTTCAAAAGAATTTTGGTAAACTGGCAACAAAAAACGAGCAACAAAAATGATTTTTAATGTATTGGGGGGAAGGATAGCTCAGTGGCCTGCTAAACCCAGGGTTGTGAGTTCAATCCTTGCAGAGGCCATTTAGGGATTTGGGGCAAAAAATTGTTAGGGATGGTACTTGGTCCTGCTGTGAAGGCAGGGGACTGGACTCTATGTCCTTTCATGGTCCCTTCCAGTTCTAGGAGATAGGCAATCTCCAAATTTTTTATCTCTATTTAGAGCCCCAGGAAGGACTGGGGAGAAATAACTTAGAATGGCCCTGATGAGGGTCTATTTTGAAATAGCAACAATGGAGTGTCTACACATGCCTTATTTCGAAACAGCATTTTTGGAATAGGCATTATTCTTTGTAGAATGAAATTTACATATTTGGAAATAAGCCGTCCGTTATTTCAAATTTATTCTGAAATAAGGAAATAGCTGTGTAGACGCTTGCATAGTTATTTTGGAATAATGGCCGTTATTCTGAAATAATTTTCCTGTGTAGACATAAGATGCCATAGGACTACTTAAAGATTGAAAGGCAGCCTAATGAATTCAGCTATGCTACTTTATTCCAGCTCAGGTCCTGGCCTAGACATTTGTTTAGTTATAAAGTGCTCCATCTTTCAGAAGAAAATGAAGGTGATTGGGTACTATAAAGTATACAGAGCTATGGTCATTTATTTTCTTGCATTTTACATTTATCTTTTGTTCTTTTAAAATGTCTATGAAAACTTTTCCAATAAAATTCATATGAAAAGAAAAAAAGAAAGATCGATGTGATGCAAATTCTTTCTTCACTCACATGCTCTTCACAGAAAGAGTTTTTCTAGACAACATACCGTATTTTCCGGCGTATAAGGTGACTGGGCGTATAAGACGACCCCCTAATTTTCTAGTTAAAAGATAGGTTTTCGTCTTATACTCGCCGTATAAGACTACCACCCCTTAAGAGGCCAACCGGCAGCGCCCCAGCGCCCCTCCGCCTCCCCGGCTTTGCTCCCGGTGTCCCTGGTCTGCTGGAAACGGTCCCCAGCAGACCAGAGGCACCGGGAGCAAAGCCAAAGCGGCGGCGGGGTGCCGCGCTTCTGAGGCTTTGCTCTGGCAAAGCCTCAGA